CTCTCTCTCTCTTTCGGGGCCTTAGATCCGGCCGCCTCAAAGCGGGAAGAGCATGCTTCTAACGCTGCGCAAGGTCAGGCCGCCCGCGTTGGCGCTGCCCCTATCCCGCTCGGGACCGCCATTGAATCGCAGCGGTAGCGAGGCTCGGCATTCGTCGTCGACGGCGGCGGCGGCGGCGGCGGCGGCGGTCCAAGCGGCCGATACAGGGGCCGCGCGAGCCCCCCTCGCACGCCTACCGATCCCTGCTCAGGCGGATCCCGGCATCAGTGCGGTTCAACCGGCCAGCATCGAAGAACCTTGGTCGCCTCTTGCGCAGCGAGGTCGAAGCGCAGATGGCATCGAGCCATCCTGCCGCCACCACCCCCCACATCCTCCTTCACCTCTCGCACCTCCAGCCGCACCAAGACGGCCACGGCCGGCGCGCAGACATGGACTAGCGAGCTCGAGGGCGCACGGCGTCGGACCTTGGCCCTACTGCTGGCGTCGTCGCATTCGCCGCGCAGGCTGCTACTGGGCTCGTGCCCGCCAACCACCGCGCCGAAAGCACAAGCAGAAGCCGCAGCCGCAGCCGCAGCAAATCATGACGGCGAGGGCGCTCGAGGGGCCCAGGCCAACAATGGCAGCGACGAAGGCGGCGTCGTGCGGCCGCACCTGGGTCGGCCACGGCAGACGCTCGCGCATCGGTTGATGGCCAACCTGGCCTCGCTGACCTACCACCACCTCTCGCCGCACACGCGCATGCAACCGCTTTCACGGCGGCGAGCGAGAGCCGAGCAGAAGCCGCGTCCGCTCAGCTCCTTGGCGCGCATGCTCAACAAGAATGACGGCGAGAGCAGCGCCATCGACGACGCCGCCACGGCCGCCAACGCCGCCACCGGCAGCCCGGGTGCAGTGGGAGCCGCGCCCAACTCGAGCAGCGCAGCCACCGACTGGTTGGCGGCCGAGGCTGATGTGGCGGGCATCATCAACGCCACCGCCGACCGACTTGAGATCTTGCGCATCCCGCCTAAACCCGTCCTGGGTCCGCTCGGCGGCAGGCTGCGCACCTGGGACGCGCAGAACCCGGACAAGTTTCGCTACGCCCCGCAAGAGGCTGCCTCCTCTGTCGGCGTCGGCGGCGGCGGCGGTTCGTCAACCACGTCGTCTTCGATCGCCGAGAGGGACATCGAGGTGCTCCAACGCGGCCTGAGCGACCTCAAGGCGCGCAAGGAGGCGCTGCTGCAATCATCGAGCTCCAGAGCGGCCGTTGTGGACCGCAAGACGGCGTCGGAGCTCAAGCAGATCGACAAGCAGGCTGCCAAGATGGAGCGCGAGGTCAAGGAGCTCGAGCACAAGATGCGCGTCCGCTCCAAAAACGCCACGCGCCAGGACCGCGCGCAACGGATCCAGTCGATCGCCATCGATCTACTCGCCGACGTCGTCAATCGAGCCCAGACCAACGAGAAGATCTGGATCGGCAAGAGCCGCTGGGAAATTCGCAGGCGCGGTGGATGGTTACCGCCGTGACGGGCGGTCGCGGTCGCAATTCCGCGAGCAGACGGAGACCTGGCTGGCTAGCTGTGGCAACCGAGGGATCGGCATTAGGGCTCTGGGCCGGTGGAAGTGAGACGGAACTCGTACAGCTAGGCGAGGTCGGAGAGATTAGCGGGACAGATCGAACCGTGCCGAGTGCCTCTGTGGTGATTACAGTGCGTGGAGGCCATGGCCGCCGCTGGGCGGAGGCCGGTCTGCGGCACGTTTCGTTGATTAAAAGATTCGAGGCGCCGAGAGCTTGATGATGCGATCAAAAGTCGAAATGGGCGGCAGGACAACCTTGTTGTTGGCGCCGTCGCCGTTGCCGCTAGCGGTGGTGCTGCTGCTCCTGGCGCTGGAAGGCCGTTGGGCACGCGGATCGGGGTGGAGCAGCGATCGAGGCGGCGACGCCGGCGACGTCGGGATCGAGAGCGCCGGGATGGACCAGAGCTTGGGGCTCGGCTGCGAGAGCGGCGGCAGCCTCATGTTGGCCACCGTCTCCGGGCTCGGCTTGGACGCGACCGGCCGGAGCGACGAGAGCGGGGGCAGCTGTCGGAAGGGCTCGCGGGCGATCTTTTCGCCAAGCTGCTGCGCCTTCTTCCACGACGAGTGGCCGTCGACCTCGCCCGCGGCGCGATCCAGCATGGATGCCGAGAGGGATCGGTAAGGGTGGTGACGGGCTGCCGTGCTGCGAGGCGAATGCCGCAGCTCCACGTTTTCCCTCGTCACGCCGCTCGCGTCCGGCGGCGTATCGACGGGCCGAGCGCCCACGTAGCTGCTGCGATGACGGTCGAAACTTGCGACGTTCCGCGTCGTCGCCATCGCCGTTGCCGTCATCGTTGCGGTCATCGCCAGCGTTGGTGCCGCCACGTCTCCCCATCCTTGCCTCGTTCTGACGATGCGGTGCGGCGGCCGCTCCATGGCGAAGCGTGCCTTGCCGTAGACGGGCGCCCTCTGATCCGGGTAGCGGCACTGGTGCTGGTTGTTCTTGCAGCGGGTGCAGATGGGCTTGGCCTCGTCGCACTTCTTCTTTTGGGCGCGGCACGTCAGGCAACCGGTGCGGGAGCGGGTGAAGCCGGACTTGTTGATGCGGGAGCGGGCGTCCCTCGACTGCGGTCGACCGAGCCCGAACTCGAGGCCGAGTCCGGTCTCGGCGTCGTCGGTGGCCCTGTCCGCGTGGTGCAGGTCCTGTTGCGGTGCAACGAATGAGAAGGTGCTGCTGCTCGTCGATGTGGCGGGCGAGGTGCATGCCGAGGGGCTTGGCCGATGGCCTTGCTGCTGATGATGATGATGATGGCCTTGGTGGCAATGGCGATGTCGGTGCTCCTGCCACTGCTCTGGCTGGTGGTGGTGTCGCTGCTGATATTGTGGACGTTGTCGTATCTCCTCCTGCTGCTGCTGCTGATGCTGCTGCTGCTGCTCTTGCTGTCGTCGTTGTTGTTGTTGCTGGTGGTGGTGGTGGTGTTGCTCGGGGTGTTGTCTGGTTTGTTGCTGCTGCTGCTGACTGGCCTGATTCCACCGAGCGATGTCGAGATGGTGTATCGACGACGCGGCGCGACCCGTCGTGGCCCGGTGGGAGGAGGCGAGCGGAGGCAGCCTAGGTGCGGCCGGCTGGACCGCCATGTGGGACGATGCGACCGTCGAGGAAGAGGCAGCGGGCCTGTAGAGCTCTTGGATCATCATCATGGGGCCGTTCGAGATCGTCTTGATGGTGCGAGAGCGGGGAAGCAGAGGCGGGCCGAATCCGATCGCGTGGTCCCGCTATTGGGCCAGTGGAGGTGTGGGCGCGTTAGATTGTTGACGCTGTTGTTGTGGGGCCTGGATCTGTACCGTCGGTCAATGCGACGAGGCAGAGCGGCTATGGATCTGGAGTGGAGGGGGGGGGGGGGGGGGGCGGGGAGGTGGAGAGGTGCGGCGCGAAGAGGG